CAGATGTTTCCCCTCTTGGCATCTAACTGGAACCTTGTGTCGTATACATTACAGCCAATTACCCCTGAAGGCCACCGTCATTGAATTAGAATTCTCATGAGATTTTGAGTGAGGAGGTTGAAATTTTGGGAGCTATTAGCACCTGCATGCTGGATGCTTTTCAATGCTTCTTTAGTTCTTTAATTCTGAAAAAATGGAATGTATTTGCTTGATCCAAATAAAGCTCCCCCCAATAATTTGTAGGGTTGAAATGAGGGGTCCTTGGGGCTCTCCGAGCTTGGTTGTTTTCTTGCAGATGTTTCATTACCCAAACTATCTATCTATAGACTAGCACTGAGGATGTTAACTACTTGGATAATGAAACGTCCGCAAGAAAACAACCAAGCTCAGAGAGCACCAAGGACTTCCTCCATGCTCTTCCCTTCCCACTTCCATACCATCACTTGTAGTAATGGACTGCAACTTCAAGTAGGGGGTGGCCCCAAAAGACCCATAGATATGCTTCCCAACAGAGTCCCAAACTACAGCCCGTAACATTGATCTATTGTAGACCAATCCCCAAACAAGCAACTTAAAAACAAAGAGGAGATATAAATAAATTCTCAGTGAAAGGCTTCTGTCTTACAAAGATATATTTTATCACCTCCAGTCTTTCCTCTTCCAAATTAGAAGAGGCTAGAAATAGGACACTGGCAGTTCTAGACCCACCTTTGGTCCAAACCCAGCTGGGTGACCTTGGGCCAGTCACTTTCTCTCAGCCCTAGGAAAGAGACAATGGCAAAACACTCTGAATAACCATGCCTACCTTTTCAAACTTGATGCAAGAATTTATAGTGTCAAGGAAATCTGCTTTTTTTTCATTTGTAGGCACTTCTGTTAGTTCCTTTCCTACTAATTCGCCTTTCTGATAGCCCATTACCGCTTCAAAGGCAGGATTTACATACTGTGGAACAGTAAGAAAGAAGAAACAAATGTCAGTGAGAATTTAAGAATTTAATTTAATTCAGCCTGAGCACTGATCCAGGATTCAGCCTTGATGCAACATTTTCTAAACTGTCTGAAAGTGTTTTCACTAAAACAGATCCTGACATGGATCTAAGGGCAGAGGCTGTTATATTACAGGGAACCCTTTTAGCTAAAAGGCTAAAGGCTAAAAGATAGTGATGGAATTGTAGTGCTTAAATAAATAATTAAAGGAGGCATTTAGTGAAAATGTAATCCCCACCCCCCTCTCACCCCTTCAGTGGGACTGCGTAGCACACTTAACCATTTCTTTAAAAATCTATTGGCTTCATTTACACAGGCTATAAACTCTAGCAACTCTCTCTGTGTGTGTGTGTGTGTGTGTGTAACTTGTTTGTTTGAATCAAATGTTGCATGAATCCAGCCTGTTTGGTTGGGTTACGGTTCAAGATATTGTAGAATCCCTGAAAATGAATGAGTTGATCAACTGGATAATCAAACCAGAGTCCAGTAGAGCTTGTTCCCCAGTATATGATTTTTTTTCAGCAGAGTCCATGGGTCAGATTATCCACAGAACATCATAAATGCCAGAATGGGTGGACTTCAATTGCCAGAATTCCTCAGCCTGCATGCTAGCTGGGGAATTCTGGGAACTGAAGTCCATCTATCTTAAAACCACCAAGGTTGAGAAAGAATGCAATAAGGTGCTGATGGGAGAACTGAAGAATTAATTCAAGATGGGTTATGGGGTAGTGGACTCCACCAGTGGTTACATAAAGACATTGAGGATTGAAACTTAGCCTGCCTCCTCTTTCTAGCAGTCTTAAAAAATCAACCTTTTTTCTTCTAAAAACAGTGCCGCATGACTTCAGGTCTTCTAGACCAAACTGGCCAAAACTGGTTTCAATTGTGAACCAACTGGTCTTGCTACCTTCCAATTCCACACAATCTCAGTGGCCCCCTGGATGTGGCAGAATTATAATCACTAGTTATCTCAGACAACACAGCCAGGAATGCACACTGGGAGATACAGTTTAGTCTCATCAACAAAGTAAAACGAAAGCATTTTGCAACCATGTCCGTTGTTGGAAGCATTAGCCAACATTTGTTTGGGGGATGCTTCGAACTGAATTGAACTCTGATTCTGCTAAAAACATCCCATTTCTTTCACCCCAAAAGAGATGCATAAAAGACACAAGGATCTTATTTTTCGGATCTGCTCAACTTTCTTCTCCCCTTGAAATGCCTACACCTGGCTTTTCAGACAAGCCAGATAAATATCACTAAGGTTTTTAATGACTTTGGGCTAAATACAAACTGTCATAAACTCCTGGAGCTTTGTGAAGATACAGTCTACAAAAAATAAACCCTTATCTAAAACAAAAGGTTTTGTCCTTAAAATGGATTTTTCCTCTCCATGGAAAGGTCAGAAAAATATGCCTTAAGGACAGGTTCTAAGGTAATTCAAGGCCCACAGGTTTAAATGTTTTAGGTCTGTGCATGCCTGTCTGTGCACATGGAGCGGCCAAAAGAATAAAATCATACAAAACCACAGGACAATATCTGACACTCATAAAAAAAACAAACAAACAGAGCATACCTTTGCAAGACCACCTCCTACCACATACCTCCCTTCGACCAGTCTGCTCCCACAGAGAGGGCCTCCTTAGGGTGCCGTCGGCCAGTCAATGCTGGCTGGTGACCCCCAGGGGGAGAGCCTTCTCTGTGGCAGCTCCTGCCCTCTGGAATGACCTACCCCCCGACCTACGTACAGCTGCGGACCTACGCCTTTTTCGCCGAGCCCTGAAAACTCATCTATTTCATGCGGCCGGCCTGGCGTAGTCTTAATTAGGTTTTAGTATAGGTTTTTATATGGGGTATTTTAGAGCAGGCCTTTATTTATTTAATTTGATTTTAGAATAGATATTTATTGTGATTTTTATTATCGCCTGTTCACCGCCCTGAGTCCCGTAAGGGAGATAGGGCGGTATACAAATCTAAATAAACATAAACAAACCTGTATTACGTGGTCTTCGCTTGTAATCTCGGTGGCTTCTTGACTTTTATCTAATGCCGTAAATATCGAATTACAAGCCCTGAAATGCAAACGAGTGGAAAAAGAAGCAGAGGCAATTAGAATTAAATCACACGACTTTTCAAGATCCAGAAAGAAAAGAATGAACTAGAACTGAAGAAGTCATAAACAAAAAGAGAATAAAACAATGGGAAGGTGCCATGAAATCTTGGAGGCTGAAGAAGGTGGACAGTCAACCATGGGAGATGTTTTAATTTGGTTTCCTGAGCTCCGGCAGGGGATCAAATTTGAAAGCTAAACAGCTTTCCAAGTGGAACCTTCCAGTCATTCCATTACTTCCAACCCCTTTTTAATCCCTCACTAAACAGATGGCGACTGCAGCCAAGAAATTAAAAGACACTTGCTCCTGGGAAGGAAAGCTATGGCAAATCTAGACAGCATACTAAAAAGCAGAGACATCACCCTGCCAACAAAAGTGCGTATAGTCAAGGCCATGGTTTTCCCAGTTGCAATGTATGGCTGTGAAAGTTGGACTGTAAGAAAGGCTGAGCGCCAAAGAATTGAGGCCTTTGAACTCTGGTGCTGGAGAAGACTCCTGCGAGTCCCCTGGACTGCAAGGCGATCCAACCGGTCAGTCCTAGAGGAGATCAACCCCGACTGCTCTTTAGAAGGCCAGATCCTGAAGTTGAAACTCAAGTACTTTGGCCACCTAATGAGAAGGAAGGACTCACTGGAGAGGAGCCTGATGCTGGGAAAGATCGAGGGCAAGAGAAGAAGGGGACGACAGAGAAGAAGGTGGCTGGATGGAGTCCCTGAAGCAGGAGGCGTGAGCTTAAATGGACTCCAGAAGATGGTAGAGGACAGGAAGGCCTGGAGGAACGTTGTCCATGGGGTCGCGATGGGTCAGACACGACTTCGCAATTAACAACAACAAAAAACAGTTAATGCAACTCCATATCCAATGGGCACAATCCTTCCTCCCAGACTTTTTGCCTTCCAGATTTCCTTCTGCTCCTGAAGAATGTTTGAATTCGTTGGATGTTTGGAAGCCTTGAGGAGGATGTGGAAACTTCCTTCCTTTAGTTATTTCATTAATTTGCATGCCACCTGTTAGTGAGAGCCTAGCTTGGAATATATTTATTAAACAAATTTATATGGCCGCCCGACTCACACGTTAATGTCATAGGCATGCCCTGAAACCCATTAGGTTATGTAGCTCTGGCTTATACAATAATTACAGATTATACACCACACATAAATCTCCATAAATCAGATTGCTATATACTCTGTATATATAGCATTATACATGTGGTGGTGCAGTGGTTAGAATGCAGTACTGCAGGCTACTTCTGCTGACTGCTGGCTGCCTGCAGTTTGACTGTTTAATTCTCACCGGTTCAAGGCTGATTCAGCCTTCCATCCTTCCGAGGTAGGTAAAATGAGGACCCAGATGGTTGGGGGCAAATATAGTCACTCTGTAAACATCTCAGAGAGGGCTGTAAAAGCACTGTGAAGCCGTATATAAGTCTAACTGCTATTGCTATTAAGAGCTGTGGTGGGGAGTGGCTAGAATGCAGCATTGCAGGTTGACTCTGCCCACTGCCAGGAGTTTGATCCTGACCGGGCTCAAGGTTGACTCAGCCTCCCATCTTTCCGAGGTCAGTAAAATGAGGACCCAGATTGTTGGGGGCAACAGGCTGACTCTGCAAACCGCTTGGAGAGGGCTGTAAAGCACTACGAAGCGGTATATAAGTCAGAGTGCTATTGCTATTATACCTATATAATGATCTGATTTTCTCCACCCCAACCCATAATCAGGGACAGATCATGGAGAAGAAATGGTCTGCTTTCTCTGGCCATCCCAGGCCAGTCCCTCAATACACCACTGTAGACTTTAAAAAGGTAAATATTTCCCTGTCCAGTTGTGTCTGACTTCAGGGCTCAGGGCTCCTCTCTGTTTTGTGGCCAAAAGACCCAGAGTTGTCCGAAGATATTTTCCGTGGTCATGTGGCCAACATGACTATATCCAAAGGCTCATGGAACGCTGTTACCTTCCCACCAAAGTGGTACCTGTTTATCTACTCACATTTGCATGTTTTCAAACTGCTAGGTTGGCAAGGAACGTGAGCTCACCCCGTCGTACAGTGCTCGGGTCTCAAACCCAGGCTCCAAGCTCAGCATCTTTAACTGCTGAGCCATTGCACCCTTACTGTAGACTTTAGCCAGGATCAAATCCCAACCAATTCCTGTGTGGGTAAGGACAGACTTTTCCTGCGCCAAGAGTATGAAAGATTAGATAGGCAGCATTACCTTAGTTTAAATTGTGCCTGTACTTCTCCAAATTCCAACTGTATGAGTTCATTGTAACAAGCCATGATGTTCGAGTTTTCGACGTATCTCTGGTTGTGAAGAAAAATAGATGTCAAGATCAAAAGAGCCGCTGTATTCCACTCATATAGTAATAAAACCTTGACTTGACAAAAAAAGGAGTTTTTCTTATTATTAAAGAAACGTTTATGAGTTATGAGCAACTCTTCCTCGTTGCTGTATGGAATGTTCCACAAGATAAGACATCCTTTTAATAAGCAGAGGTAGGGATTTTTATTATTATTTTGGGCTTCTTAAGTAAACAAACCCATTTGATCCTCCTAAAATAGATCAGTACTAGGAATCCTTGACATAGGACTGATCCTTAACCATCATTCAAAGTTACAGTGACCCTCCCCAGGGGTATCTATGGAGGTTCTCAATCCTCCAGGTTCACAATTATCCCAAAGGTGCTTTTTCAAAAGCATCTTTCTTGGATTTCTTTCTTTGAAAACATTTTCCTTCTCATCCAAGAAGCTTCTGAAGAACGGAAGAAGCTTTTGGGATGAGAAGTGAAATTTCTCAAAGAAAAATCCAGTTGCCTTTTGGAAATGCACCGTTGGGGCTGGCTGGCTGGCTAATAAATTTCTCTCTTCTTGAAGGAGATAAATATTTTAGTCAACAGCCTTACTGATAAGTCTCTGCCTCTGACCTGCTTATGATGGGATCAGAAAAAGCCACGCGTGAAGTCAGTCCAACAATAGTTGACTCCGATCGACAAAATGGCAGAGCCAACAATCTCATCATACCCTTACACCTTTTATACTGAGACCATTTATGCCAAACTTTCTATGATACATGCCTTTTCGTGAGATCTGAGGACCTGCCTTCAAAGGTAATGAAGAGATTTAACCAGGGCCTCTTCAAAAATCACCATTTCATCTGTTTGGATGCAGAAAATTAGACCATCACAGACCCCTTCTAAATAATCCCTTGGGTTATACTTGGTGGTGCCAAGAGTTCATCCTTTCTTACTAGCAGGTGCCTTGACTGGCCACCGAAATCCTGATTTTTCAGCCAAAGAATCAGGCCAGTGTGAACTCACCATAAAAGTCATATGATTCTGTGCCAGCGCCGTTGCAATTAGATGGCAATGGGTTTGATGTGAATAGCTAATCTAGATCATTCATTCTGATTGACCAATCCCATGCTTACATATTAACATATATTTCCTAAACACACGATTTGTGCACCCTGTTGTCAAATGCCGGGGAAAAATCAGGAGATCCAGACAGTTCAAATGGATATAAAGATTTATTGCCAGCTTAAGCTCTCTACGAGAATCTGAACTACTATTGGCCAAGGGAAATTAGCGGGAGATAAGAGTAGAAGGAATTCAAGGTGGGCTGGATTTAGATCACTTGTGGGTGCAAAGGGACTCATGACTGATGACGTATTTGACCCCTCCCTTGGGCTCAGCCTACATCTGTCTCCAATTCCTTTCCCCCTTACTCTTTCAGCCTCTCATCTATTGTCAATAGCTTTCGTGTAATCTATGATCTATGAAAATCTATCTGCATGGTCAATCACAGCTGGCAGTAACTTGATGACATGTCATCAACCAATTAGGATGGTTATCCTCCCCCCCCTTTTTTCCCCCGTTAGATTTCTCCTAGAGTAGACAAATATAAAACTAAGCAATCTGCCCCCAAATGGTTAGGGCTGTTCCTATTGTAACCTAAACATGCTGTCAGTAATCTTTGAGCTTATGTTCAAAAAGTGTAGAAATATTTTTCCCCCAGGCTTTGGCAAAAGCAATTTGAGATTCCCAGTGTGCACATGTAATTCAGGCGTCCAGTCAATACAGTATACGTGTGTGTGTGTGTGTGTGTACAATATATATAGGAAAAGATGACTATAAATAAATTGACATACCCTTGTGAAGCCTGCAGCAAGAAAGGGCAATAAGGACGACTCTTCGCGATCTGCATGTCTGGTGGAAGGAAAAGGAAGAACAGAAAGATGTTCGAGGATTTTATTTACCCGGTTAATCCTAGAAATATTATTATCCTCAGACAAGAGGCTGTATCTCAGATCAGTAATAAATAAACAGAAGTCCTTCAAACTTGAAAATTCAGTGGCTTTTGAAAGGCTGCAGAACTTCAGAAGAGAACAGAGGGCCGTAGAATTCTTTTCTTTTCAACAGGGATAACTTAAGTTCTTTTTCTCCTCCGTCTATACCCCCCCATGGACTCTGTTCCCTTCTTCTGGTTTGCTCTCCTTTGCAGGCTGTTGTTATGGTTAGCACTGGTTTGCAAAATCAAATACTCCAATGCCATCCTTCTCTAAATGGTCTCTTTCACTGCACCGGCCTTTTAAATTCATAACTGCTCTAGCCTCTCCTGCTTAAATCACAGCTATGAGACAGCAACAGTTCCATGGTGGGTTTTTTTTTTAAAAAAAATAATAATAAAGATCACACCCAAACAATATTAAAGCAAAGGTCAGGAGCGCGAGCGGAGAAGACAGGAGAAAATGTTAAACACTTTCCCAGCCACTAGTTTTTACTCCCTAAATTCAGATATTTTTTTCTCCCAGCCAGGATTTGAACTTGGAAATGTACTTGGCCGCAGAAGAACTTTTTGCTTGGCAGCAAATGCTCCATGTTTCGCAAGAACTGCAGATTTTTCATAAAGGCACCGCTTTTGCTGGACTGATTTAGAGGGCGCATATTCAAATATAAATACAGATGCTAAGTCACCACAATCAACATGAGCAATGCCACAGATCCCTATTTATGAAAACAAGATCACCGTGAATTATCCCCAGCTGGAGCAAACGGGATGGGTTTGATGGAAAATTGTACCATTGGCTGGCAAGGCCACGGCCCTCGGCTTTGAGAACGGAGGGAGGAAGATTAGGATAAGAGATGCAATTGTGGAGTTAATGGGAAACAGAATGCAAGAACAATTTAGAGAGGATAGCTTTATTTACCCATCTGCATGGGCACCAAATATGAATAGAACAGAACAGAACAGAACAGAACAAAACAAAACAAAACAAAACAGAACAGAACAGAACAGAACAGAACAGAACAGAACAGAACAGAATAGAATAGAAGGGACCTTGGAGGTCTTCTAGTCCAGCCCCCCCCACTTAAGCAGGAGAACCTACACCATCTCAGATAAGTGACTGTCTAGCCTCTTCTTAAAGATCTCCAGTGATGGGGGGCCCACGATTTCTGGTGGCCAGCTGTTCCACTGGTTGATTGTCCTCACTGTCAGGAAGCTTCTCCTTAAATCCAGGTTGCTTCTCTCCTTGATCAGTTTCCAACCATTGTTTCTTATTTTAAGAGACTAGAGGTATATCTCCTTCATGGATCGTTGCCTTGTTGTGGCAAAGAGGCTTGTGCAGCTCAAAGAAACTATGAGCTAAGCCGTGCAGGGCCACCCAAGACAGACAGGTCATAGTCTGACAAAACATGGTTCATTGGAGAAGGACATGGCAACCCATTCCAGTATCCTTGCCAAGAAAACCCCATGGACAGTACTGAAAGATATGATGCCAGAAGATGAGCCCTGAGGTTGGAAGGTGTCCAAGATCAATAAAGGTGTCTAATGTGTTACTGGGGAAGATTGGAGGACAGTGTGCCATGGACCATGGGCTGCAAATAGTCAGACAAAAGTTAGCGACTAAACAACAATGAGATACATGGTCCATAAATATGATGTAATCTCCAGCTAGACGCAGTGTTTCTCAACCTTGACAATTTTAAGGCATGTGGACTTCAACTCCCAGAATTCCACGGCCAGCAATGCTGGCTGTGGAATTCTGGGAGTTGAAGTCCACATGCCTTAAAATTGTCAAGGTTGAGAAACACTGAGCTAGCGTGAGGGAAGGAGTGAAGACTGGTGAGCTTGGAGTCCTTGCAGGAAAGGAAGGGATGGATGGAGACTGGAGCAACCCCTTCTTTGCCTGAGAATTCCTGAATTCTTTACCTGGCTGTTCTCAAGAGAATGTAATCAGTCTGTAATAATAATAATAATAATAATAATAATAATAATAATAATAATAATAATAATAATAATAATAATAATAATAATAATAATAATAATAATAATAATAATAATAAAGTTGGAAGGGACCTTGGAGGTCATCTAGTCCAACCCCCTGCTCAGGCAGGAAACCCTATACCATTTCGGACAGTAATACCCCAATCAAGAAATTGCCAAAGAAGCCAACAGTAAACAGCCCAACCAAACAACCTCTAAGATCACTCCCACCAACACTGACAGGGGCAAGAAACTAGAATATATAAACTGACAGTAAACCCCACTGCTCACTAGTGTTGATATTACCTAGTCTGAGTAATAAAAATCTGCACAAAAACCACCAAGCTCAGAGAGTACCAAGGACCTCTAATTTCAACCCTACTTATAAATATTCTTTATTAGTACTAAAAGGGTCAGGAAGGAGAAACACCTCATGTGCCCCATTCAGTCCCATTCAGTGATTTCTCAGGGACTGGAAGAGAGAACCAGCTGAGTCATGGAATCTCCTTCCCAGTATGAGTCTCACATAAAAAGCCATATATCTTGTGTGAACAGGTATTGTACTACAGCGGTCAACCTTTTAGACTCAACAGACAGGTGGCAGCAAGGTGGCAGATTCTTGTAAATAGGCAGGCAGCAATAAAGAAGCAACTCTGATCAGCTCAAGGTGTCGTTCTGGTTCTTTGTGCCTGACAATAATCCGCAGCATCTTATAGCAGGTGGGGGGAAACCACTGTCCTCTTCTCCCAACTCTCATATTTTAGCAGGCACCCAATTCAGAAGACACGGATCTTCTGTCATCACGTTTGGCTCCACCCACAGCTGCAACATCCATTCTTGAATGATCTTCAGTCACTCTATTTTTGTCTTCTCTGCCTACCAGCCCCATTCCTAACATTCAAAAGGCCAGGCTGCGCAGCTACATAGTCAGCTAAATGTCAGTAAAAATCAGAGAGAACGGGTCTTGATTTCCAGTTACAGGCTTCCTAGCCTGCCTTTTTGCATTTGTATATATTTTTGATAGGAGGCTGCAACAATT